AATATACAGCACATATACATACTTGTCACACAGTTAGGGAAAAATGGCAAGAAAAATAGACATTTTCAGTATAGAGGCAATTTTTTTCTTTTGTCTTTTTGGTTTCCCTGTGTAGCCCTGGCTGTCCTGAAACTTGCTCTGTAGACCAGGCTGGCATCCAGGCAATTTTTCTTATTCAGTTCAGGTCTGTGCTTGGTTGACTCCACAGCCATGGATCCACTGATAGGGAATCCCCTCTGGACTTTGAAAGATGTCAAACTCTACAATTCCCACAGCATCATATTGTTTCCAGTCTTATAAAATATTCAACAGAGGAAATAAAATCAATTTTACCCAAATGCAATGATTTTTCCTTCCATCTGAGGCTGCTGATGTTTGGGGCTGTATGGTTCTTTGTTGTGGGAGGCTATCTTGTGCATGGTGGGGTGTTTAGCAGCTCCCTGGCTTCCTCCTGGCAGGATTCAGAAGGACCCCACATTCCCCCAACTGTAACAACTAACATTGTTTCCAGACATAGCCTAGTGTCCTTTGGGAAGCAGACTCCCTGCTACTTCTTCCCCCAACTTCTGGAAAGCTCCATAGCATATCCACCCCCTAGTTTTCTTTCTATTGCTGTGATAGACACCACAACCAATAGGAACTTGGGGAGGAGATGGGTTTTTGGCCTGCATGTCCAAATCACAGTCCATCACAGAGGGGAGTCAGGGCAAGGACCTGGAGGCAGAGACCATAAAGGAATGCTGCCTCCTGGCTTTCTCCCCAGGACTTGCTCAGTTTACTTTCTTTACCACCCAGGACCACCTACCTGGGGTGGTACTGCCCACATGGATCGTAATCAAGAAAATGCCCCATGGACTTGTGTACAGGCTGATGGAGGCAATACTCAATCAAGGTTCCCTCTTCCCATATGACTTCAGTTTGTGTCAAGCTGAAAACAACAACAACAACAACAACAACAACAACAACAACAACAACAACAAAACTCCAAACTGTCCAAACAAAAAACTAACCAGGAGACCAGTGATTTTACCCTGCTTGTCTAAGCACCTCCCAAATGTAGTGTGTCCCTAGATTTTGATTCCTGTGCCTCATGGTACCCACTGTTCTTCGTTTTAATGCAAAGGAGTTAGCCCATCTCTGTCTTGCTTTTTTCCTGGTTTATTGTATTCCTTAAGCCTCCAGGCCCACCCAGCCTTGTGCAGCTTTCCCATGCCATCTTGGCAGCTCGATTCTGCTCTTCTCAGTGGCACACTCTTACTCGTCCCGCCATTGACCACTACCCACTTGACTTTTGAAATCAAGTGTCAACTCATTCAGACATCTTTCCCAGGTGGTTTGGGAGGTGAATGGCTTGTGAGGGCTCTGATGTCATGAATGGATTAATCCATCTATTGAATTGTCGTGATCTGCTCAAATTATTTCCATATTGTGTAAAACAGAGGTCTTTCAGCTCTCCCCTGCTTGAGAGATTCCACTGTGGTAAGAGACTCCATGTCCTAGGTGGGATTGAGTTCTTTCCTTTAAGTTCCACAGTCTTCTCATAGTCTTCCATCATGCCCCATGTATAAATATTATTTACTGTTGAGATAGGGTCTCACTGGGCAGCTCAGGCTGGCCTTGAACTTGTGACCCTACTACCTTAGCCTCCTGAGTACTGGGATTATGGTTGTCATCACACCTGCCTTTATCCTTCCTTACATATGAGATGGTCTCCACAATTTTTTGAGGGCAGGGACTGGGTCCTGCTGGTTGTCTGACCTCCCAGGTAGACAGGCACAGGTCTGTGGGTGTACCACAGAAGCACATGTGCTTGAGGGTGGGTCAGTGACTGCACCCACTGGGTCCTGAGTGGGCTTTGCAAAACACCAAGTCATTGACACCTCCTCACCAGGTGTCTTCGGGGCATGCTTTCCCTGCTGGACTCCAGCCGCCCATGTCCCTTCTTGGGAGAAGGTACAAGGACTGTAGGAGGTACATGTTGTGTTCTTTACCCTCTCAGCATGAACATGATGTCATCTGCTCAGTCAGCTTTCCCGGAGAGTTCCCTGTAAGCTTTCTCATTTCAAATCTAAGGAGAAAAGCCCCCTTTCCTCCATGTCAGCATTCTTGAAAGCCCGTGTTTATTTGTCTCTATCACCTTGCTTTGGGGGTTGATTTCTTGACCTCTGGGAAATCCCTCTTGCCTATGTATTACATCCATCTCTGTAGGCACTTCCTTATTTCTTCTTGGGGGTTATTTTAAGCTTTAGGGATTTAATTATGTCCTTGGGAGTCCTCTAACTTCACCAGAGCTGTCCAAGATGGTGCCAGTGGACAGATGGAACGGGGCAACTAGAGAAACAAGGGTCAAGTGACAAGACCTTGGTGACCATTTGGTCATGGAGACAGTAGAGATGACTCATCTGTCTCTGAGTTGTTTGTGCTGGAGATGGAAGATAACCCAGGGCCTGGGATATGCTAGCCAAGCACTCTACCTCTGAGCTACCTTCGTCCTTTGGTTTCAGTTTTGAAGTAACTGGATGACAGGTATCTGCTGTGAAGATGGAAGTCACAGGAGAGGAAGAAGATGAAGGGGAGGCAGAAGAGATAATGGACATTGTTTGGGATGTTTCCATGGAGACATGGTGACAAAACACAGGAGGTAATTGGAGATACAGGAAATATGACTCAGGGGCTGTTGACATGAGGATGGCACCTGGAGCTGAGGGAGTTGCTGAGAGATAACAGTGTGCTTACAGTATGGCCATGGTCAGGGGTGGTGCAGGAGAATTTGTCCTTGACAAAGACGGAAGGTGTAATCAGTGAAACTGAGGAAGAAAGCCAGGAGAAAAACTTGAATCAGAGGCCACTAGAGACGCTAGTTTGAGGATGAGAAGGGACTCTCAGAAAGCTTAAGCGATGTAGAGACATCAGTTCAGGACAGGAGACTATCCACTGAATTAGCATGAAGGCCACTGGGAACCATGGGGAGGGCACTTTTAGCTCAAAGGAGGAGGAGGAGGAGGCTAGAGACAGATTGTAGAGGTGGAGGAGGGGGTGGGCAAAGAAGGAATAGGGTTCTAGAGGGGGATCCCTCATCTGTTCACCAGACCCATCCTGGGTCCTGGGATACAGTAATGGGAAAAGAGGCAAACATTCCTTTCTTTATCCTGTGGATGTTCTAAGGAGTCTGCACAGAGATATTATGGTTTGGATATTAAATATCCTCCCCAAACTCAAGTGCTGAATGTTTGACCCCCATTGTAGCAATTTAGAAGAAGAGGCTTGGGGGGTGGGGTGGGAGTGACTGGCTCAGGAGGGCTCAGACCTCATCCATGGATTCATAGCTCAATGGGCTTCCAGGGGAGTGGCCTTGTCACAGATTCTATCAGTCTTGCTCTTCAGCTGCCCTCACATGAACACCTTTGACTCACCACACTCTCTACTGTGGGGAACTGTACCAGCAGAGGCCCCCAACAGGGCCAAGTGACTGTGAATCAAAAATTCTGAAACAGGCAAAACCAGACACACACACAAACTTCCTAGAAGCTGGTTTTCTTATACATTTTGTCACAGAGGCAGAAGGCTGATTCGAATCACCATCTAACCGGCGAGCAGGCCTCAAGAGGCTGGTGTTGAACTTGCCCCACCCTGCCCTGCTTCCCCCTGAACCTTTGACCCTCTCCTTACGCCTCCTCAATGGGAAGATCACAGGGCAGTCTGGCAGGTGGAGAAGAATACAGGCCTGAAGTGCACAGTTGTACAGCTGTCTGAGCTGGTCAAGCCCCCCCCCCCCCAACACTTAGCTCTTGCTGAGTCCCAGAAGAATACTGCTCTAGCTCCCCACTGCCCACAACTCTAGGATTGGATTTTCCCCTTGACTGGGGCCGACCCATGCCGCTCTCCTCTCATTGAAGCATTGAAGGTAGGTCCATGAACCCAAGCAATCTCCCATGAGACATGGCGCTGGAAAGAGAGACTTCAGTCAGAGGTCCAAATGGCTTGGTTGTTTTCTTCAAAGCTAGTTGCTCTCTGACACTTGCAACTGAGAGGCTAACCAATACAGGTGCCCTGGATGTGGTCTGTAAGATACATTGTTTAGTTGGCAGAAGCCTCGGACTCCAGGGGCCCTGCTGTGCGGCCCTGTTTGCACTTTGGCGGTGCTAGCCCAGCAGGGGACAGAGGGACAAATCACACAGGAGCTTACAACGCGAGGAGAAGGTAATAGCTACTTGGTACAAAGAATCACTGCCAACAAAGGTTTTTCCTTCATGTCTCTTAAGCTATAATCATGGAGAACTGGAAGCTATCAATTCAAGGGGATGTTCAGAGCTCAGGCTGAGCGAGAGAGACAGTCTATGCAACGCAAGCTTAGAGCAGTGAGGTGGGAGCAGAGGGAGGTGGACTGTGGATTCCTCCTGACACTTTCTTCTGGAGACTGTGCCGGTGGGGAGGGCAGCAGATAGTCTGGGGGAGTCCTGGGGGACTGTGCGGTGGGGAGGGGCAGCAGATAGTGGGGGAGTCCTGGGGGACTGTGCGGTGGAGAGGGCAGCAGATAGTCTGGGGGAGTCCTGGGGGACTGTGCTGGTGGGGAGGACAGCAGATAGTTGGGGGGGTGGTCCTGGGGGAGTCCTGGGGGACTGTGCCGGTGGGGAGGGCAGCAGATAGTCTGGGGGAGTTCTGGGGGACTGTGCCAGTGGGGAGGGGCAGCAGATAGTCAGGGGGAGTCCTGGGGGACTGTGCCGGTGGGGAGGGGCAGCAGATAGTCTGGGGGAGTCCTGGGGGACTGTGCCGGTGGGGAGGGGCAGCAGATAG